ATAATGATGATGCTGTTTAGAGGGGAGAGAACGATTTATATCTGTTAGAATTCACTGCGTGTCAGTATTAGATCTTGGTTGCAAGAGAGTATCAAGGGATGGAGGGGCACGTTTATTGTCCTCTGAGTGACAGCAATAAAGCAATTTGATGTCACAAAGTTAGAGTCGGATCAAGAAGGTCATTCTCACCAACAAGGTTAAAATTACTCGAGGAAGGGTACATGGGCCCAAAAGTCCTCCTAACCACCCCACACTTCCTATCTCCCTCCCCCAAATGAAGCTGTCCTATCAATCACCTCATTATCCACTATTTACAGCAAGGCCGCCACATAGGCAGGGACCAAGCCGGGAGCCACAGAGAAATGTCTGTGTGCAGAGTGTGAGGCCTTAAATGAAGAGATAATAAAAAGAGAGTTGCTAACACCAGGACTTCCCTCCCCGGGAGAGAGCTGTCAGGCCGAGCGCCCAGGGCTGGGAGATTTATTGAAACCAAGTGGGTTCTGCCTTAACTGCGAGCGATGATCAAAGAAGAGGTCTAAGTGAACCAGGGAGGAGATGGGACAGCCCACACCTCACGGTGTGTGTGTGGGGGGGGGAGGTTCCTGCCCTCGGCAGCCCCTGCCCTCCTGCCTCCCCGAGAGGGAATTCCTGGCCTCATTTTTGACTTGCTCTGATTTGTTGGACACATTCTGCTACAGAATCTCTTGGAGGCAGGGACTTCGGCATCTGACACTCTAGCAGGTTTCCCCAAATGTGCTGTCTTTTGTCTGCTAGTCTTTGCTGGCACTGCTTCTTCTACCTGAAACACCCTTTACACACGGGAACTGCCCCCTACCCCCTTCTGCTGGATGGCTCCTGCTTATCTGTCAGTGTCAAAGCTAGCGTACCCTCTTGGAAGCCTTCTTTGAGCTTCCCGAAGGTTGCCGTTCAATGTCACTGCCTGAGCCCTGACCTCATCCCTACCACAGCACTTACACTGAAGTGTGATTGCATGACCAGCTGCTTGTCTCTCCCACCGTCAAGGTACAGTCCTGGAGAGTGTGACCTACCTGGTTTGCCAATGTACCTTTAATGCCTAAGGAGGGGTAGATGTTAGATGTCACCAGGCAGATGGATGGTGGACAGAGAGATGGACCAATAGGAGAATAGATGTGGTGCATATGTCTTCATAATCCCCAAGGGAAGCACCAAGCACACCACTCAGTTTTGTTCTAACAGCCACAGGCCCTAATGCAGTAATGCTTCTTTTTCTGGCATCACTAAGGGAAGGCAGTGTGCTATCAATACATGAGAGGGTTTTCTAGAAACCAAAGCCACCCATCTGCCAAGACTGTGTCCTCCCAACACCATGGAGGGAGGGAGGAGTGGCGTTTCATGAAGGTGAGGGGCTCAGGCCCTGCGGTCCGCCTGCTGGAGTTCAGCTCTTAGCATCGCCTGGCTCTGCTCTTGGGCCTCACTTTCCCGGTTTGTAACCTACCTCGGGGTGAAGGGAGTTAATGCAAGGGCATGTTCTTGGCAGTGCCTGGCACTTTGTAAGGGCTCAAATGTCAGCTCTTAATGATTACTCTGAGAGGCATGCTCTGCAGTGCTGTGGGCTTACCTGGAAGGAGCCGCACACAGGCTGGTCTGCTCTGACTCCACATCAGTGTGAGAGTCTTCAACGAGCCCAGCGCACAGCGAGTTCGGATGCCTTTGAACAGTCCCATTTCTGCTCTCCTGCTTGTTGTATTGAACAATACAGTCTCCACCTCTAGCCCCCTTTCTGATTTGCCGCCTCTCATCTACTCTCTACTAGGTAACTAAATCACACAGCGGGTTAAAAAGTATATCTTGAATAAAACTTGAGACTCTGAATGCACTTACATTTAGTGCTAGAATTCTGTTACAGTCAGATCTAAGAACTCACAGTCTTTATCTGGTTTCTAGGTTTGAAAATGAACACTGGAGGTTACTCAGAGTTTGACCAGCAAATAGCTAAAGTGTTGTCAATCAGTAAACATGTCTCAATTGATTAGACTAGAGTCTAGACTATTGGGGCCTGAAGAGATGTTAAATATTATGCAGCCCAAACCATCTTCTCATACATGAGAAAACTGAGGCCCAAGGAGAGTGTGGGATTTGCTCAAGGTCATATATGTATTGTGTTGTGATAAAACCAGAAAGAGGATCCTCCCAACCTGTGGCATTGTATTTTGTGCTTTTTCTACAAGATCATGGCATCTCTTCAGATTGAATGTTTATTGTGACAGATTCAAAGAAATGTCCTACGACTAACTACCAATTATATTTTTCAACATGTAATCAATGACTGTATTCTCCCATAGGCCTTAGATCTACAGAGTCAGTACCTCTCTCTGTCTCTCTGTCTTTCTGTCTCTGTCTGTCTGTCTGTCTCTCTCTCTCTGCTCAGGCTTAGCTGAAATGAGGAGCAAGATTGAAGTTCAGATGCTCAGTGGCTCTGGGAGCCAGAGTGCACTGGAGCATATGCAGGCCAGGCCACCTACCTCTCAGCCATGCTCTGTTAGGAAGCAGTGGGTAAATGCACCCAGTTAGCCTTAAAAACAGGGTAAAAAAAAACTTGGTTTAAGGGAAGAGAAATCTGTAAAAAGGAAAACTAGGGAGGTCGTTGGAGGGGAGAATATCCCGGCCTCTGGTGTCAAAGATGTGATCACGTCTACTTGCTCTCAGGTCTTCCACCACATCTCATCCTTCCCGCCTCTACTTCCGAAGTTCTCGCAAGAGGCACCGGCGGTGAGGCCCCCAGGGCCCCACCTAAGGTGTGAGACAAGGGAGACAGCACAAGGGACTAGATCCAGAACATAAGATTTATATCCCACAGGGTGATATTCCACTGCTGCAAGCGGAGAAGAGATCCTAAAAATACCGAAGGGAGTATATGATAACATATTAGAGGGTTTATGTGCTCCCTATATTCATTCACCCAGTAAGATAGATTGTGCTTTTTGACAAATCTATATTTAACATGGGCAGAATAATATACAGTGTGTGCTTCCTGGTAGAAAAATCCATATTTATGGAAATCTTGATTCTGGCAATTATAATAGACATTTAATGGCCATGCCTGTTGTCTGCTGTAAGCAGATAGAGCATCCTTATTGGGTGAAAAAGAAAATAGCATGAGTGGCAAAGCATAAACAGCTCCCTCAGAGGAGCAGGAAGTCCAGGGCGCCCTACAGCCACCCCAGTTGGGCCCAGCCCCTCCTCACTCACCCCCGAGAGCCCCGTGAGCCTCTCCTCCAGCACCCGCCACCCGTCCATCCAACAAACACTTATTCTGCACCGACCCTGCCCTAGGCGCTATCCCGGCTTTGGGGCACCAATGAGATTCCTGTTTTCGAGAAGTTAATATTGAGCCAAGCCACCATAGGTATATGCAAGTAAAGAAAACTATTGTAAATGATAATTTAAATATGAGAAATAAGACAGGGTGATGTGATAGTTATGGGGGGGTAGGTGAGGGTAGAGTCACCATTTAGGAGAGATGGTAAAGGAAAGCCTATTCAAGGAGGTGAGATTTGTGAACTTTCACTTTGTATTATACATTAAAATGAAGTTTAGCAGCATAATGATGCTAAAGTTCAGAGGAGAAAGTGGGGGGAGGGCAAAGTGGCTCAAACATACGTAATGGAGGGAAACTGGACTCCAGGTGAGGAGCGCACAACACAGTACACAGATATCAAATCACGCTGGACGCATGAAGAGTGTACAGTGCTGTTAACCCATGTTACCCCAATAAATTTATTTTAAAAAAGAAAGAAAAAGATAGAACAATCATATATTTGGTTAAAAAATGAGTTTGCAATATTAGGTCCTAGGAAGGACCTAACTGAATATAGACATCGCAGAAGCAGCTCTTCAGCTTTACCAAGGACCCAAGGCTGAGTTTCTCCTCTCGGGATTGGAAGGGGCATTTGTCGGCCAACCCTGCCTTCCACGCTTGCTTATTCCACATGGCTCTCAACTCTGGCTCCAGCTCCACATTCTCTTAATGTGTATCATTTGCTTCACACTAGGAATTTGTCTTATTTTCTAGTGAGCTTATTAAGTATAAAAATTGTTTATTTTAATAAAGTCAACTTCCATTTGCAAAAAACAGTCTAGTAGCCAATTGACCTGCAATTTGGCCTTATGACCTCTTTTTCTGAATTACATTCTAACTAGCAGTGTAACCAACACAAACCAGAATTGGTAACTGCACTGGGATCTTACAAAATGCCTCCTGTGGGGATGTTCACAGAGCTAAGCTATTACTATGGCTGATACACTAGGGGGCCTGAAAAATCAGCTAGCAGGATGTAACGCACACAAAATGAACATCAGCAGAGAAATGTACACCAAAAGCTAAGGGTAGGCTGGGAAAATCAACACTTGTTTTTTTAAACATGAATCAGCAGCAAGCTGGCAGACCTCTTTCTTCCTATAGCATCTTTTTATGCTTTGCTCAAAGCGATGGGCAGTGTTATGGAAAGATTACTGGATTGAGGTCAGGATATCTCCTGGACACACATATGTCCTAGCCGTGCTACCTTCGACATGTTCATTAAGTTTTTGGTCCCTGGTTTTCCCCTTTAAAAGATGACCCAGTCATAATTTTCCTACCTCAACAAGGTAGTTGTAGACATAAAGTGAGAGAACATATGAAAATACTTTGTACACGCTTATAATTAATAACCATGACAGTATGTGCCATGGAACTGACACCTAATAAACACTGAATTAGACAGACAGGTGTCTGAGTTGGACAGATGAGTGGATGAGAGGCATACCCATCTAGATGGGTAGAATGTATGCACAACTGGAGAGATTAGTAGGCAGAAAGGATGGATGGATAGATTGGTTGGTTGGATGGGTGGAGGGCTAGATGATGGATGGGTGGATGATGGGTTGGATGAATGCACTAGTCGATGGATTCATTTTGGAGCCACCTGACAGCTTGTTTGTAATATCTTCTATCCGTTAATCCTTCTCTTCTCTTCCAGTCTGTTCCCAGTTCTCCAAAGGAGTCTATGCCATCTTTGGGTTTTATGAACGGAGGACCGTCAACATGCTGACCTCCTTCTGCGGGGCCCTCCACGTCTGCTTCATTACGCCGAGCTTTCCCGTTGACACATCCAACCAGTTCGTCCTTCAGCTGCGCCCCGAGCTGCAGGACGCCCTCATCAGCATTATCGACCATTACAAGTGGCAGAAATTTGTCTACATTTATGATGCTGACCGGGGTAAGCCAGAGACTAGGAGAGGGAGACTGTTGAAAGCTGGAGAGGAAACTTCCAGCAGGAAGAAAAAGTGATGCCTTCTGCCCCCTTGAGAAGCATAGGGAAATAAACCAGAAATGCTTTATTTCTACAGGCTGACTTTTCAGTGGTTAATCTCTAACTCATGAAAACTCATCCTTTCAGAGAGTAATCCTCTTAAAGCATCACGTGTCTCTCTATAGCTCACCAAGTTTCCATGGCTCCTGAGTCCAAACTTCAAGTCCAAGGACCTCAGTCAAGTGCCTTATGGCTCTCGGCAAAGTTCTTAGGAGCATAAGCACTGGAGTCAGGCAGTACTGAACTGAATTCTAGGTTCTCCCCAGCTGTTTGACTTCAGGCAAGCACTCTTTGTCCTGGTTCAACCACTCATGTAATGGGGATAAAATCCTTTCTATGCCTTCATTTCCTCATCTCTACCACGAAGACCAAACTAATCTCTACCTCATAAAGTTGATGTGGGGATTGAGTGAGATAATGACAGCTCAGTGCTTGTCAGCATCTAGAACAAACACAACACAGAGTCCTCTGTATATAAGTTAGCCCCTATGGTCACCATCGCCATCATCATCATTATGTACCGTCTCAAGACTTTATAGTTCTGCCTCCACCTGAATTTTGAATTTTACATCATATTCTCCTAATGATTCCTATCCTGTTTTCTTCTCTGCTTCTCTACTCATGCTGTTCCCATTTTTTGGAATGCGCTTCTGTTCTCAAATCTACATATGCAAATCTTTCCTTCCTTTCAGAGTCTGCTCAACCATCCCTTTCTCTAGTCTTTGTTCCTGAAATGAGAATTCTGCTCTTTTTCTTATTTCCTATGGTGGTTGTATAATACCGGTCTACCTTCCCCTTGCACGCTCAACTTAGTTATTATTGGTATAAATAAATAAATGGATCATGCAAAATCTGGAAACTGAGGCAGAGGAGTTTTCTCCCCAAGCTAAAGGGAGGTTTTATAGGAGATTGCCTGTAGGGAATCTCCCATAAAGGGCAAATGTAGGGAGGCTTAGAAGACCTTTGAGTCGGAGAGTGGCTTGTGAAATGGCTTTTCAAGAAGAGTTCGGCAGGCATTATTCAGATGAGAAGGAGCCAAGAAGAGAGATCAGAAACACTCTATTAGATTTTTCTTTTCTCTCCTTAGTTTGATGATTTTCCTTCTTAGACAGCAGTCCTTGTAAGGATCACCTGCTCAAGGGCTTGGCAACATAGAAACTTGAACTGTGGCAGTGGCAAAGCCGGAAAAATGTAACTTTGATTATAGAGGATCATCTCTAGGGTGAGCAGCAGCCCCCACACTCTTAAAAGGGCTTTGCCTGTCTCAGAACTCTGACTAGCTGTGTGACCTTGGTCAAATGACTCAGTCTCTGAGCCTCAATTTCCACATTTGTGAACCAGGGATCATAATGGTAACTACCTCATAGGACTAAGTGTATTGAAGGCAAGAAAGCTAGCAAAAACAGTGCCAGACAGGTAGGCAAACTTTAGTACCATACTGAAACAATTTGTACTAAAAAATAAACAAAGATAGGAAGGCATAATACAATCAATCTAAAAATAAAGCTTGCGGCCAGGCACCTTATTGGTCACTATGGAAGGGATTAGTAGTATTAGTGGGAGACAGAAATAATATATGTACAAAAGACTGACTAATAATGCAAGAGAGAAATAACCATCTGACATGGGCAGAATAACAACCTCCACCTCCCTCCCAAAGATGCCATGTCCTAATTCATGGAACCTGTGAATATGTTTTATTAAATAGCAAAAGGGATTATGGTTGCAGATGAAATTAAGCTTGTTAATCAACTGACCTTAAAATAAAGAGATTATCCTGGATTATTTGTCCGGGTCCAATGTAATCACCAGGGTCCTTAAATGTAGAAGTTGGAGGCAGAGAAGTCAGAGTCACAGTGTGAAACGAAAAAGACTTGACCAGTCACTGCGGTTTTGAAGAGGAAAGGGGCCATAAGCCAAGAAATGCAGGCAACCTCTAGATGCTGGAAAGACAAGAAAATTTTCTCACCTAGAGCCTCTAGAAAGCAACACAGCTGCACTGACACCTTGATTTTAGCCCAGGAAGATATATTTCAAACATCAGACCTCAAGCAATATAAGATGATAAATGTATGTTTATCATAAACATACATTTATCATCTTATACTGTGTTTATGTTGTTTTAAGCCACTGAATTTGCAGTAATTTGTTATAGTAGCAACAGGAAACTAATAAACAATCTATGTCTCAAAGATGAAACCAAGGAGCATTGAGTAATGAGCTCCTCTATCATTTAGCTATAAATTAGTATATAGTAGTTGAGTTTAGTACATGTTGAATACCAACTATGTGAGAGACAAAGTATTAGGTACTGAGATACACTGAACATTCATGAATATGACTGACAGTTATTAATGTGTTCAGCTATCAGGCTGGCACATTCAATAAGCAGTTACTAAATATCTATGTATCCTGATTGCCACTTCCATGTCCTATTCACCCGACTTCCAGGTTTATCCGTCCTGCAGAAAGTCCTGGACACAGCTGCTGAGAAGAACTGGCAGGTGACAGCAGTCAACATTTTGACAACCACGGAAGAGGGGTACAGGCTGCTCTTTCAGGACCTGGAGAAGAAGAAGGAGCGCCTGGTGGTGGTGGACTGTGAATCGGAACGCCTCAATGCCATCTTGGGCCAGGTAGTGAACCCCGCAAAGGCTCAGGGTGGGTGTGGGAGATAGCTCCAGGGAAACCTGGGTGACCCACTGCTGAGGGCGTCACAAAGAGAGGGCTTGACTAGAGGCCACATGCCTTTCTCCTCATATCTATAATTCATAAACTTTAATTCTGAGATTTTACGAAATAGTACGCACAATGGGAGCCTTCGCAAAGGGCTTCAGACGGTTCTCAGATCAGCCGAACAAAATCTTACTTCCAGTGTTTCCCTTTATTGTTAAAAAGCAGATTACAGGGCAGTTGGGAGTTTGTGAAGGGCTATCACATCAGGGACACAGCCTGTAGAGCCAGCTCCCTGGGTTCGGCTCTGGGTTCTGTCGCTCGAGGATCCAGCATTCGGCATCTCACTCATTTGGCCCACTGACCTGTTTTCGGAGTCCAAGGAGGCAGCAGACACCTCCCTGTCTCCTGTTTCCTTGAACACTCTCCTGTGCCTGAGAAGTCGGTTGGCTGCACATTCTGTGAACGGGCACTATAACCCCAACAGCTGGCAGCCGGAGTTCTCTTTAAGCCCCAGTTCCTCTGGTTCAGAACTAAGCACGTGCTCCTCACAGAAGCAGCAGGCCTTGGTGTAGCTGTCTCTTCATATACCATATTTTTTGGACTATAAGACACACCCTCCCCCAAATTTGGGAGGAATAATGGTTGTTAATGCTGCTGTTGAGTTCTGTTTACATTTATATTGGTGAAATATTCTATTATTTATGTTATTAAATATTTTACTACATTTTTGCTTCGAAATGTTTTTTCCTATTTTCCTCTTCTAAAACCTAGGTGTTTCTTATGGTCCCAAAAGTACAGTAGTAATGTTTGTGCATTCAGATGAGCTAGCAAGGAAGTATATTTTGCAAACATTTTGAACAGTGCTATATGATCAAAAATGGTAGTTTTAGGTACTTGACAACATGACAAAACTTGTTAATGGCCCTCGAGACCCCTGCTGCCTCCATAGGGAATCTCAACACCAGCTCAGCAATTACTCAGAGGTCTCAGCAATAGAACAGGAGGGATTTGGAAACTCAGTGATTCTTGAAGGCATTAACTCTGTGCTACACTTTACAAAGTGTTGGTCTTACCTCCTCCTCTGAGAAAGAGATACCAGCAAAAAAAAATTGTTTCCATGGAGACAGGAGTTCTCTGTGCTGCAGTGAGAGGATTTGAATTCTAGTTAACTGAGGCAGGCAGTCTGGGTAATGGTTAAGAGCAGAGGCCCTGGAGCCAGAGTGGCTGAGATTCTAACCCCAGCTCTAATATTTACTAGCTCAGTGACACTGGGCCAAGTTTTTCACCTTTCTACATCTCAGGTGCTTGCTCTGTGAAGTGGGTATACTAATCACAGTTTCCTTAAGGGGGCTCCGTGAGTATTAAAAGGCTCTATGCATGTGAGGCATTCACAATAGAGCCTGCCACACAGAAAGTGATGCATATAAATTTTGCCTATTTTTGCTATTTATACAGCCAACTAGTCCTGTCTTCTTGTATCACTCACTCTTTGGGCATTTTACAAGTGGTCTCACCTGTGAAATAGGAATAAAGGTCCCTGTTCTACAAAGGTGATAAAAGATTAGATGAGAAAGAGGTAGAGAAAGTGCTGGAGGATAATTAGGGGTTCTTAGTAGACTGAGGGCTTTTCCTCTATCATTCCACATAGAGGTGATAGTTAGTGCTACTATTTTTGAGTGCTCGCCACATACCAGACACTATGCCAAGGCCCTTCTGTGTGTAACCCCACTTCGCCCTCACACTAACTCTATAAAAGTTTCTATCAGTTCCCCTGGTTTATAAATGGCAGAACAAGGGATTGCACTTGCCCAAGGACTCATGATAACATAGAAGAAAAGCAGGAAGTCAAACCCAGCATGGTCTGCCTACAGGACCCAGCTTCTTAAAAATGCAACTTTCCAGCTTTGCTACTTCCTTGGCCAAAGGACAAACTTGTATTTTGTAAGGACCTGCCTTGTTTGTATACTGTAGTACATTAATTTTTTTCATTGTTGAGTTCCTGTATTCTGGAAGGTAAGACCAAATAGCTGAAAGGACCTGTAGATCCTTTAATCTACCACCTGCACTCCATATTTTATGGGTGGGATGATGTCAAATTGGGTGAATGATGTGTCATGGTTCAGACAACTGGTTAGTGACAATGATGAGTCTAGAATTTACTCCTCCTGACTTGCAGTCTGGTATCTTGGCATCATCCTACACTCAGGAATTGGGATCTTTTTGGTCTAATATAAGTGTTCTACTTAAGGAAGGAGACAGTGATTCCAAATTCCAAACAGAAAATCAATTGCCTATTTCTGTCTCCAGCCCCACATCTAGAAGGTAAGTCAACAAGGGCAGGATTTTTTGTTTCGTTTTCTTCTCTGCTGTATCCACATTGCCTTGAATAGTGTTTAGCACTAGCAGGCACTCCGTAAATATTTTTTGAATGCATGTAAAGAATAGGGAATCAATGAAGGCCCTAAAAGATCCCAAATATGAGTTGGGTCTGGGTATCTACAGGTAGGCATTGGCAGGGGTTTATTCTGTAAACAGTGCAAAGGCAGTGAAGGTGTATGATCAGGGAGAAGGGTTATTAGAATATAATGTTTTACCAACAAATAAGACACCAAATTATACAGAGTAATGTATTCATTAAGTTCAGAATGACTTAGAGATGAGAGAGTCCAGGACCAGGCCATCCATCACATCACCCTGTTTCAGTGTCTTTATAGTGCTTCTCACCTATTAAATCTTGTTCGTTTACCTGTTTATATATTTACCGCCTGGCTCCATATTAAAATGTCAGCCCAGTTCAAGGAGGGCATGGGGACCTTGCCTCAATTGTTCGTCGCATGGTGCTTGGCATTTAGTTCATGCTCTATAAAATATTTGCTAATTGGATTAATTAATCATAGAAAGTTTCACAGAGTAGTTCGGATGAGAGCTCAGCCATAAAAGTTATGAATAACCAGAGAGAAAGGAAACAGCATTCCGGACACAAAGAATGTGAATTTAGACCATCCAGTGGAAATGAACTTTGAAGGAATGGGGTCAGTGAAGCAATGTTCCCAAGTGAAATTGTACCTTTATGTACAGCTTTCTTAGTTTGTAACCCTGTGTGCAGTTCTCTCTTTATCTGTTTAGTATGGGTCTCCTCCCAGTAAACTATCGTGCTTGTTTCACTTCCCATGACAGCCCTAGCACAGTGCTTGGTACACAGTATGCACGCAGTAAATGTTCGTGAAAGGAATGTAGGAGAGGAGGGAAGGTAGACCAGGGGCAGGTAGATGAGTAAACAGGTGGAAAGGTTAGTATTAGGTTGAACCATTTGAAACTGCTAATTTTTATTGATCAGTAGTCATCCATTATCAGCTAGTTTTCTATATTTCACCCTGTAATCTTATCTTGCAGAGATTAAGAGTTATTCATGGCCTGAATGTGGTAGATTTTGAAACATCTTTTATTTGCTGCTTTATGTTTATTAGAATAGGTTTTTGATAAAGGTATCTCATTGTTGAAAGAGCAGCAAACCATTTGACAAGAAGATGAAAAAGTAATGAATTATTAATAAAACTATCACCCCAGTAGCATTTGAGCTCCATGGCCTGAAATTTCAAAATCTAACCACCGTTTCAGGGCATTCATTGTGTACACTTGCATTTAATTATTCCCCACATAAAAAAATATGTGAGCCACTACGCACATATATCCAATTAAGTAGATGTCTGAATGTGGATTTTAATAACCTTGAGAATTTATTCAGTTAGAAAAGGGGCCCGAGTATTTCTCCTATGTTTTATGCCTCCTTGCAACAGTGCAGGCAAAGAGGCACCAAGCGGGGTGTACTAACCCCAGTTTGATGATTAAAAAATAAAGACATAGGTCAAGTTAACTTGCAGTCAGAGTCAGGACTGAACGATGGCCTGCAGTCTTAGCTGTTCCTTGGGGGGAGGGGGTGGCATGTCTGGCTACCCAACAGAACCTCTGGTAGGTCTTTCCATAAATATGTTTCCTTTCCTCAGTGATTAGGCACACTCCATACATTCAGGATGGAGGAACATTTGGGGACCCTGGCTCTTAATAATGAACCACAACCAGCTATCACACAGAAAGGCTCACCACAGTCAGGCCCCTGTCCTGATACTACTACCAGACTGCTGTGGAATCCAGGCAAATCACTTTCCCTCTCTGGTCCTGGATTTCCCATCTGTACGGTGAGGGGTTGGACCAGACAATTCTGACATTCCCTACAGCTTCTGGGTTGAGTGACCCATGAATGTTTGAGTACCTAGCTGGTTTAGAGAAGAAAGCACAAAATTTGGGGAAAGAAGGAACTGCATCTGAATATGATTCGTGCACGAAGTTAAAGGTCAAGAACTGGGGCGGAAGTAGCAGATATTGTCATGACGGTGACAGGGAATTAAGCACAGCATGAGTCCCACCAGGGAAGATTCTCCATGCATGGGGAAGGCTTTGAGAAAGGAGTGTCCTTGGGGTTATGATAATGGTACTTTACCCCTGGAATCAGACAAAACTAATTCCAAATCCTGCAATTGTCACTTAATAGTTGGGAAACCGTAGGGAGTTTCTTTAACCTCTCTCTGCCTCAATTCCTCACCTGCAAAGTGAGCATCTCCAATGCCACCATCGCTGGGTGGTTGGGATACTGTCATCGGATACTTAGAATAGGATGAGGTACATTGTTAGTACTCAATTAATGCTATTTCCTAGTATTATTGTTGTTGTGGCTTTAATTGCTAATATGATTAATGAACCTGTTCCCTTGCTTTTTTTTTTTTTTTTAGATTATAAAGCTGGAGAAGAACGGCATTGGGTACCACTACATCCTTGCGAATCTGGTGAGTACAGCACAGTGCAGACACTCAGCTTGTGGTCTTTCCATGGTCGGGGCTCCAGTTTTCTTCCATGGTCCCTGCCTGGTGGAAACTACATAGGCAAAAAGGGCAACTTGGAGCTGCAAGACTCTGTTTGGTCAATACTGAGTTTACCTTTTCCCTCCACATCGCTGCTTGTCAAACCACAGCACACTGTTGGCAAACCTCTACACTCTGAAATGGGCTTCATCAGTCATCACAATTCTAGCTTTAATCAATTCTGCCCCTTGGCAATAAGGACAAAATAACCACAAATGATAATATTACAGTTTATAAATATAAACATTTGAACCATAATTATACTAGTATTGACAAATCTTTACCCAGAAACAGTTTTTCAGCATGAATAATATTATTTCAATTTTGTTTTAATTCACTTTTCTACATGGCATAGATGAGATGTCTTTCTTAAAAAAATTGTTTTCATTTTAATGTATTGTATAAGGTACAATTATTTTCTATGTTATGAAGACTTGATTCATCAAATTTTTTGCACATATTAAATTTTATCTAGTAACATGTTCCATTTTGAGTTTTCTTTTGTAGATATTATTTTTGGCAACTCTATTTCTCCTGGGTCATGTTTGCCTGTCTACTTTTTTTAATCACGAAGTATAATTCTTCCAGTTGCTTTTTTCCAAAGTTAAATGTAATTTTATTTTGCCTTTTGTCCATTTTTAAAAAGTTTTATTGAGATGTAATTTATATATCATGCAGTTTGTTCATTTAAAGTGTGCAACGTAATGGATTTTTATGCATTCACAAAACTGTGAAACCATCAACACGATCTGATTTTAAACCTTTTCCATCACCCCCCAAAAGAACCATAATACCTAGCAGCTGCCACCCTCACTTGCCCTCCAGCCCTAAGCACCCGCTAATCTACCTTCTATCTCTATCATTTGCATGTAAATGGAATCGTACCATATGTGGTCTTTTGTGACTGGCTTCTGTCACTGAGCATATTGTTCTCAAGGTTCATCATATGGTAGCATGTATCAGAACTTTATTCTTTTTATTGCCAAATAACATTTCATTAAATGGCCATACCTCATTTCATCTATTCATCAGTTGATAAACATTTTTGACTGTTATGAATAATGCAGCTATGAACATTTGTGTACAAGCTTTTCTATACACCTAGGAGGAGAATTGCTGGGTTATATGGTAACTCTATGTTTAACATTTTGAGGAACTCCAAAATTGTTTTCCAAAGTATCTGCATTGCCCATCAAATTGATAATGAAGTTTTATGCTGATTAAAATATTTTAATCAATAACAAATTTTACCATGTGTCAATTAGAACAGTTATCAAGTTTTCCATAATGGTAGCTTTTTCTATAGACTTCGCTTCTTATCCTGGTTTGTCTTTGCAATTTTCTGTGTTTCCATTAAGGTGTAATTTTTAGCCTTTAATTTTTAACAAATTCTATCACATTCAGTTTTAGCCATGTTACTTTGTCTTGAGTATTTCTATGAGTAATATTAATTGCTAATTGAATAAAATAATTGATATTTTCTACTTATTTTTGGAATAAAAGGCATTAGTAGAACAAAGGCATAGGATCTGGGTGTATATAGGAGGGAAAAGGTTGAAACGCCTAATCTAAAAGTGAGACCCAAACATCCTGCCTACACCTGAATGCTCCATCAGCGTTTCCGGCCTGATCTCCATCCTTACATCCAGGCCCCTTTACATCTCCTTTGCCCCTCCACTGACCCCTGACTTGGCTGTTCCAGTATTTCAAGCTCAGGACTGGAAACCAAAAAAGCATGTTGAGATAAGTTAATTTAGACCCTAGTCTTAATGGCTAAATATGTTATTTTTTTCTTAGGGGTGTTTGCATTTTAAACAGAACGTGGCTGTCCAGAGACTTTTAGGTGACCAAGAGTCTATGCATTAAAAAAAAGGTCCAAGGATGAAATTTTTGATTTAGTAGTGAAGAAAATTCTGGATGGCCCTTGAATCCCAGATTCTTACTGCTAGAAGGGAATCTGGAAGTGCACTGAAGTCTCATTTGCTTTTAGGAAAACAGAATAGCAAGGTGGTGTGACTTGACCTGGGTCACATAGCAAGTCTGTGGCAGAACTAGGCACAGCAGCGCAGTGAGCAGGCAGCACCCCACTGCTCCAGGACATCTCTGAATGCAGACCAGGCAGGTACTCCGCTGCTGGAGAATCCTGAGCATACACAGAACAGAGCAGCGGCATACATAATCGCCTGTCTAGGGTAAGAAAGAACTTGCACATCGGTGGCCTCAGAGCCACTGCAAGACCCCAGGTAATTACATCACCAGCCTCCATCTGTTGCCAAGTGACCCCTTGGTCACAGCATCACCAAGTCAGCACCTTGGGTTTCAGTATTCTTCTCTGGCCTAATGAGCTCTCCGATTCTTACAACTGCCAGCTAATAGGATGCAAATTGCATATACCATCCAAATACAAGAGTCTTGCGTGTTCCAATAGTTTAGTTGATAATTAGGCTTCAAATTGCTAATTAATTCAGTTTGACACATAGTTGAGTATTTGGTGTATGCTTTTCTTCCCCCTTCAGAGGAATAATGCAATTCATAAGATGATCATTTTTAGAAATTCCACCACATAATTAGCCTGTGGCTGCATGGAACTGACCCCCTCCTTCACAACGTTTCTGATTAGGGTGTAATTATAGAGTTAGAAACCAAGGCAGCTTTTGAAAGGTTTAACAGAAGGAAAGAGCTTCACTTTTTTATTTTGCAGTTGTTCTGAACCTGCCAGAACACACTGGCTTCAAAGTAGCCAGTCGCTTTGGGGGGATTCGAATAACTGCTCTGGAGGGCCGCTGAAGACAGGCTGGGGGGAGACAGGCAGAGAGAAGGACTCCATGCACGGGGGTCAGAAACAACACAAAACCCTGCTTGTTGTTCAGACACCACCCTTAGCTGCCTCTGTGATCTTGGAAACTCTCCAGCCATTCCTTTCCTCATCTGTTAATTGGAAATAATAGTCCTGCTCTACAAGCTCACAGTGTCACTGGGGAAACCAAACATGTTGCTGAATGCCGCCATGTTTGGCGGAATGTTTGAAAAGTTGGAAGTGTTCTGCATAGACAGGGAATTTTTACTTCATATACTAAATCCACCCAATGTCATATCACATAGTGCGTGTTTAGATTTATGTGTTTGTATGTGTATTCATATTTTACATGATAGGCTAGACCTGAATTTATATTTTCATAGCCTGGGTATGTCCATAAAGTGAATATATATATGTTCATAAATAATCATATATAATCATAAATAGTAATAATGTCAATAACTGCTACAATTTAATGAATAGTTACTATATTCCAAACACTGTGATAAATACTTAAAGTCATGGTCTGTTAAACCTTCACAGTAGTATTCTGAGGTTGAAAATATCCCCTACTTTTTAGACAGATTAGTTTCCAAAAAATTATAAAGTTTATCAAATGACTATCAAACTAAATCTTTACTACTGTGCCATGTGACTTCTGGGCATGGGGAACTGGGAGAAGGGCTGGGCACCTGGGCACCTGAGTCTAGGTCTTGTCCACAGTTGCAGCAGTACACTGAAACTCCTACCGAACAACTTTCCAATTATACACTGAGAGTATTTTACCATCGTTGTAATTTTCCGTGTAAAAGGCAGCTGAGGGAGAGAGGGTGAGCTCAGGTCACCTGTGATCTTACTGGGGTATTCAGGGTCCAGGGCGCTCAGCCATTTCCATCCTATGGCTGCATCATGTGTTGTTAGAGTTGGAGGCTTTGGTCTGTGTGGCAGCTCATTCATGCCCCAGCTCCATGCCGCTGCCCTTCTGCTGCCTCGGGCCTAAGGAGAAGCTGTTCTTTAGTCTCCTTGCTCCCTTATGGTGAGAAATCTGTCCACGCCTCTGTAAGGCCGAACTTGCCCACTCTCCTCTGCACCTCTCTTCCCACCATCTCAGTACCACACACAGTCACGGTTAGTTTCTGCAGCTTCTGGTTATGTGATCCAGTAGTTGGGAAAAGTGGCTCTGGGGTCAAACAGACTTGACTTTAAATTCTGGCTTTATGCTCATTAGCTGTGTGACAGTCAAGTTACCTACCCTCTCTGAGCTTTCACTGCTTCATTTGTTAAAAAAAAAAAAAAGGAATAATAAGATATTATCTGTCTCCTCCTGGGGTATCATGAGAATAAAACAAGATAATATAATATATTAAAAAGTGCTCACAGTAATATCTGGCAAAACAGGCACTCAATAAATGTTTGTAATTACCCCTATAATAACCGTGGCCATCACCACCATCATCACCATCATTATCATTAGTGGGGGAAGAAAGTGTTAATATCTGGGGACAAACTTAGCTCCCTTCCTGACCAAATGTCATCCACAACTGATTCTCAATTATATAATGTCTTCCCCCCTGTTTTTCTGTAAGCACCTGGAGGAAACAATGTGTCTGCCTCCTTCACCAATGAATTTCCAATGCCTGGCAAAGTGAGTTGTTCATGTAACAGGTGTTCTTTAAAAAGGCACTGAATGAATGAATGAATGAATGAATGAATGAATGAATGAGTAAAATGATTTCTCAGGAAATAATGTTTCTACCCCTATACCACATTCACTAAAGGCAAAATCTTTGTTTCTATACTAAAACAAAATAGAGATAGTGGGAATATGAATACAGTTCCAAATACATAAATGAGTAGGTAGAGATGAGTCTAGAAGTCTTCCAATCACCTTGTCATCTATCTGGTTCCAGCTTGCACAGTGCCCAGAGATGGGGCGCTCACTCCCTGAGACAGCCCTTTCTCTTTTCAAAGGGCTGCAGCAGTTTCTGCCCTTTGCCTCCAGCAGGGCCTGGCCCGAGTTGCCCTCTCATCACTCCCGGCTCCATCTGCCCTCTCAGGAATCTAGCAGAACAAGTCTGCTCCCCTTCCACAAAGCAGCCCTCGTGTATTTGGAAATGCCTACCCTGCT